GCCTTCGAAAATCTAGAAATTATTAGTCGAATGAATAATTTTAGGGTATTATCGCCGTATGTGAAGCGCCGTCAGACCTTATAGAGTGGCGCGGCCTAGAGACAGAGAGCGACAACAATGACAAGGCAGCGGCACCGGTGTGCATCGTCCTTGAACCGACTAAGGAACTGATAGAACAAACCCACGAAAATCTCGTTAAGTTCTCCAAGAACGTCAGCGATCCGAAGATACGGTAAGAGTCGCCTCGTACCTCATTATTGAATTCTGTAATTGTTCGAACACATCATGCACGGTCACCTGTAAGAGGTAAACTGTACACTCAGCTCCGAGGACGGACTTTTCCATTCGAACGGGCACGCAGCTTTAATATCGTGCCACTTTGACAGGTGTAAATTGCACAGGAAAGGGATGAAAGTAGCGATACCCAAGTGCCGTCTTCATACTCTGCTGCGTGCGTTATCCTGAAGGTGTAGCACTTGCACAGATACCAAATTTCCGCAGCGAAACGCGCAGTCAGTCGATAGAGAACAACCAGAAGTGAGATGGCGCAGACAAGTAGCGTGTTTGGCTATAGTTAGGTGCCTTGTTGGTTGTGCGACAGCACGGGAGGAGTATGGAGACCCACCCCGACACCGCTATCCATCCCCAATCCCGTGTACTTTTGGCCGGAGTATGTACCATGCTTCTACAGCTGCGGGCCCATCCACCCCTGCACATGAAAAGGACCGTTCACTGAAGGTGAATCCCACTCGCGTAATTTGGCCAGATCTGAGGTCGCAGAAATTGTAGAGATTTCGTCACTTGTAAGGTGCGTGTTAGAGGCGCCAGGTGTTTCTGGTCTGTTCGTGAGGAAGCCACTTAGAAGTTCTCTTACAAAGATAGGTCAGTAATTGCCGCGCCCCTGTTTCTCCAGTGACGTAGGGAGGTTTTCATATGCTCTCCAGGGATTGTCAGTGTGTCGACTTGTGTTGATCGCGCTCGTACCCTCATACTATGAAGGTATTTTCAACTGATACTATGGGCAAAATGATGAATTTTTCCGTTAGACTTTCTTTGGCGTTAAGTAGTTGGTCTCTCTCTTTGGCAGACAGCTGGATCAGGCGCGAAATCGCAGCGTGTGCAACCGCATCGTACAACTACACTACACCTACACCACCGCGCACGAAACAGCCTAATTCTGTGCTTTAGCAGTTGTACGGTGCAGCTGCACACGCCGCAATTTCACGACGCCTAATCCAGCTGTCTGCTACCCTCCTACTTCCCATACTCTACTCCTGGACGCTAGTGGACGCTGACAAACGTTGGTGAGCGCTGGCGTTCGCTAGATGGATACTTATACTTTCCTAGTCGTTGGCGCTGACGGACGCTCGAAACGCTGGTGGTCGCTGGTGGACGCTGGTGGTCGGTTGTGGACGCTGCCGCAGTGTATGAACGCTGCCTTAGAACGCAGAAGACCAGGCTGGCGGGATCGTAGAGGAGTGAGGCACACTCTAGGCCTTGATTAGAGGAAGGGATGTGGAGGCGCTGGCGAATGGTCCCTCAACCCCCCCTCCCACCCCTCCACTACGTTAGCGCCCTCCAATGTATGATTTCCAGGCACTGATGACGAGAGTTTTGGTTTTGGTGGTACCGGTAAAAAGAGCACAAAGCGAAAGTTTGAGGACTATGGCGAATCATTCACAACTGGTGATGTTATGGGATGTTTCCTGGATATCGATAATGGGAGGATGTGGTCCGTTCTAAGCAGTTATGAAAACCAGTAACTGGTAGAAAACTTGGGGTTTTCTATTTCGTGATTTCTCAGGTGGTCGAAGAATGGCAAGGAGTTCGAAGTTGCTTTTCGATTGGATACAAAGTTCACCAGTCCGCAATGTGCACTGCATCCAGCAGTTCTGGTCCAAAACTCATCACTCGAGCTAAACTTCGGTGCGACCCCGTTTGCTCATCCGCCGAGAGAGGTACTACCTTTGTCTGTGACTTCGAGAATCTAGAAATTATTGGCCGAATGAATAATTTTAGGGTATCATCGCCGTATGTGAAGCGCCGTCAGACCTTATAGAGTGGCGCGGCCTAGAGACAGAGAGCGACAACAATGACAAGGCAGCGGCACCGGTGTGCATCGTCCTTGAACCGACTAAGGAACTGATAGAACAAACCCACGAAAATCTCGTTAAGTTCTCCAAGAACGTCAGCGATCCGAAGATACGGTAAGAGTCGCCTCGTACCTCATTATTGAATTCTGTAATTGTTCGAACACATCATGCACGGTCACCTGTAAGAGGTAAACTGTACACTCAGCTCCGAGGACGGACTTTTCCATTCGAACGGGCACGCAGCTTTAATATCGTGCCACTTTGACAGGTGTAAATTGCACAGGAAAGGGATGAAAGTAGCGATACCCAAGTGCCGTCTTCATACTCTGCTGCGTGCGTTATCCTGAAGGTGTAGCACTTGCACAGATACCAAAATCCCGCAGCGAAACGCGCAGTCAGTCGATAGAGAACAACCAGAAGTGAGATGGCGCAGACAAGTAGCGTGTTTGGCTATAGTTAGGTGCCTTGTTGGTTGTGCGACAGCACGGGAGGAGTATGGAGACCCACCCCGACACCGCTATCCATCCCCAATCCCGTGTACTTTTGGCCGGAGTATGTACCATGCTTCTACAGCTGCGGGCCCGAATTGCCGTTTGGACTCCAGAAATTTCGGCTGCGAGCTCATTTTAAAAGTGGCAAGATCACCAAATCCGCTAAAAACTTGTATATAGGGGTAATTCAACATCCTGATCACGAAGATATGACATCCATTCCTCTTGTGCGCTGGTCCGCCTAATGGATGACACTACGATTACTGCCGCTCTGCTAAGGCTGAGCCCAGGAAGGTAATCGTAGTGTCCTCTCTTGGCGCCAACGCCAAGAACGAGTGTCATACTCGTAATCTACCCCTATATACAAGTTTTTAGACGGATTCTCGCGTGACTGAAGCCCAATTGAAAATGAGCTCGCAGCCGAATCTTCATGGAGTCCCAAACGCCGTCAGCCTATTACAGCTGCCGCGGGCCCCCATACAATCTATCATAGATACGGACCGTCACGGCTTGTTAGCAGGCGCCACGGTGTATTCTGCGTATGTTTCGGGGGAAGCCACTTAGCCGGAGTTCGCCTTACGAATACTAGCGTCAGTAAATCGCCAAACGCCCCTGTTTCTCCAGTGACGTAGGGAGGTTTCATATGCTCTCCAGGGATTGTCAGTGTGTCGACTTGTGTTGATCGCGCTCGCACCCTCTCATTCTATAAAAGTATTTTCATCTGAACTATGGGCAAAACCGATAAAGTTTCCCTATTAGGCTTTTTTGGCGTGAAGTCAGCAAATTGGAAAAATGTCGACCGTACCTTGGGGAACTCGTCCAATGCTTAAGTGTTAGAGGCTTGTGCATGGCATTTTAAACCTTTACTCTGTTTGTCTTTGTTCTTAACCCCTGTACTTAGCTGTACCTCCTGGATCTGCAATAGTGAATGGGTCTTTAAACGAGTTTATGAGAGTGTTGTGCTGTCACGGCCGAACAACTACATGCTTTCAGAGGAACAAAGGAACATTTGTATGGTGAATTATATATTTAGATGTATCTCATTAGCTGCTGGTGCCAGCATGGGACAGTTGCTCAGCGAACTCGACAGAGGTGTTGATATTGTAACGGGAGGTGTTGGACGTGTGTTAGACATGATAGAAACCCATAAATTGTCTGCGAATGGGCTAAATTTCATTGTTATTGACGAAGCGGTGAGTATACTCCGAGTGCATAAAGAGTGCTATTCTTGTGGCTGTCCACCCACTACACTCGTTAACGTGATTTGGTGTTTTTTTTAGGATCAAATTCTCTCGTCATTCAAACCGCAACTGGAAAGACTTCTGTCGCGAGTTCCGACGGTTGCGTCCAACGGAATGCGCCTGCAAGTGATTGCCTGCTCGGCAACGCTTCCACAATCAAAACATTACTCAGTTTGCGGTGAGTCTCAGGAAGACGGACAAGGCAATCGTAATCTGCCGCGCCGTCGTGCGGGGAACATCGTGCGATGATGTGGCACATTTTCGAAGTTCAATCAGTTTGTCGATTGAAGCACTGGAACATATGTGAGCGCAGCGGAGGCAGGACCCCATGCCAAACAAGATAGGTCTTGAAATCCCTTTAATTTGTGACTCAAGCTTCCAGGCGGGAACAAGCTCGTCTTGGTGTCGCTAGCCACGCCCACCAGCGCGACATTTTGCGATTGTCTTGTCACATACCCTGTATCTCATCCAAACCTTGATGGCAGTGTTACGGTTTTCTTTCTAGGATAAGTACATGAATTTCCCCCAGTGGATCGACCTGAAAGGTATGGATAGCGTGGCGGAGACGGTCCACCATGTGGTATGTATGGTAGACGCTGTCGCAGATAAACAGTGGATTCGACATATGCATAGTTCGAATCATCTGAAGGTATAAGTTCACTTCAGTCATGGCAACGTTGTAAAGCTCCAAGAGCGACTTTAAAAAAAAGCGAAAAGGTACATAAGTGTCGAAGTTTTCTTCAACATTAGTAATCCGGGTTAATTCGGTGCTTAGACTGGATTATTTGTGGAAGACAAGATTCATCGCTTTTCTGTCATATCCTTAGGCGTCCCGATGCTCGTGTTCAGATATCTGTTCGTTCATATATTCCTATGAGACGTGAAATATTATTTCAGGATGATTTGGTTCATGAACGTGATAACATTCGTCTGAATACCACCGATAAGAACACCATATCACTGGGAACGAAAGTTCTCAAGGGAACGTATGTATTGAAGGTTTGTT